TCTATCTATCTATCTATATAGTGCATTTTGCACTATTAATCAAACCTGGGCTTGTGTATTTCATTTACTAAAGATAATTAAACCCAATTTGATAAATACTCTGATTTTAGATTGATTTTTGACCAGCATGCACTTCTTCCTATCATTCATCAGTGCAAGGGAGGTTCGTCTTAGTCCTTATTCCTAGTAGAAATAATTTTGGCAGGATTTTGATATTTGGGAGTTTTTTTATTTCTCACTTTTTTAACAGCCTCTTCAAAAGAAATGTTGAGAAGTGTCTGAACAGGACATGATTCATTAGTCCTCCCTTCCCCTTTTCTTAAGTGAATCTCCTAAAAAACCTGCTCCAGTACATTTCAATATCTGATAAAAGTTCCTTTTGCAGCAAGAGGATAAGATAATATCCTCCTTTATATGGTCTGACAGGCCTGTCTGTATTGCACCTGCCTATAGTTGCAACAGCTGATAAATGTCATTGTTAGGCACAGATAAGACAACAGCTCACAGAACACAGTGGTCAGTTTTATAAGAACCATGCTATATTTAAAAAAATAATAATTTTTTAGTGTTTAAATCAAAGACCTTTACAAAGAAAATACTTTGACTGATTTCAAAGACTAGATTAGGGTGCCATTTTTTTCTTTTCTTTTCAAATGAGTCACTTTGTCAGATCCACTTATCCTCACTTCACCAATCATCCACCAGAGTCACTGATGGGGAATCGTTTTCACTAATGATCCGGTTCAGACATTCTTAATACCTTGACCGATGACCTTATTAATTAACCTGAGGGTCCTCCCAGTGATTCCCAAACCTTTAGTGCTTGACCCCGTTTTGGCTTGCAAGAAAGTTTGCACAACCCCCAATCGCCTCTCTAACCCACCCATTCCCATTATGAGTAGAACAAAAACAACTTAGCTACAGTAAACATTGTAATAAAACAAACTACATTCTCCTTAAAATCACAAGACTATCACCATTAAAATGTGGTTATTTTACATATATGTTGGTTTTAATGTTTAACAGAATTTAACTTTGCTGTCTATACGTTTTTAATTGCCTCTTAAATAGGGTAATCTATTTAATTAATTTCTACCAGCCACCCCCTGCAATTACACTGAGCCCCACCTAGGGGCCACGCCTCCCACTTTCGCTCCGAAAGTAAACTGTATACGAACGTCCAATCCAACCCCTAAATCCCTCAATCGATATATAGAGCGGGGACTATATAGTGCACTTATAATGAACTCAGTTAACTGACCGTTCGGACAGATGAGAACTCCATCTCCACGCATTGTACCTGCGGTAGCAACAGCTGTAGTCAACAGCGGGCCACTGTGACATAAAATACCATAATGCTTTGTGAGGAATGCTCTCCTCGCAAAGCATTATGGGATATGTCTGCTTATCTAGTGACCATAGATGATCACTACTTTTAAAGGTGTCATGGTTCTCCCCTTTTGGGACTCTGAGTTTTTAGTTTTCTTTGCTGGAGGGCGGACAGGCAGACTATGGTGGTCCTGAGGAGCAGCGTAGCAGAATGTCACTTGTTTTCCTGACGTGGACGGCGTTCTAATATGGTGAATAGTTTCCTTTTCTCAGCGTTGACGAGAAGGTTCCTTCCAAGGCTTGAAGGACCAGGTTTATCCAGTGGATCTGTAGAAATCCTGTCGGAGATTCACAAAGAAACAAGATTAGGACTAGAGGTCTCAGAAAAGGAACTCAAAGTTTTACTCAGCAAAAGGGGGGCTAGAGTACCCAATACTGGCAAAAACTCTGGCGAGGAGATGGTGACAGTCTGCTGCTTATATACTCCTCAGACGGTGCCCAACGAGCTGCAGGTGTGAGTAGTTGACAGCAGGAAGAGGCCCTCCAGGCCAACAGAGGAACAATGGAACCATCTACTGGATGCACGGAGACACTGAAAAAGAACAAAGAACAACCCACACAAACTGGAACCCTAAAAGTGAAAAAAGGTGAATTGTGGGAAATTTCGAGTCCACTACTTTTTCATCCACTAGATGTTCAGACACTCATTTCAAATGCCCTAACCACTATATAGTGCCCTATATAGTGGTTAGGGCAGACATTCGGACACAGCCACAGTCATTTTTCACATTTCCTAAACTGACAAAATATTAATTATAATACTAATAAAAATATATAGGATTTCTTTTCATCTTTGAAATAATGCCTATGTTCAAATTAAAATGATAAAATAAGATAAGATTGTTTCTCTTTTCAAAGCTTTTTTGAGCCTGCTTAATGTGAGGCTCTAATTTTTTAATCACCATCTCAGGATTCTGGGTGGTCCCTGCTAGATTCATTCATAAGTGAATAAAATCTGTGTTATGTTTCCATTCCTTGCGAAAACTTTGCTTATAAAAAAGAAAAATTCTGTCCTACAGCCGATCTATTAACATAAAATAACTTTAGGTTTAAAGTCCATTTCTTAAAAAAATGTATCATAATTATTCATAAATACTAGTAGGCTATCCTAAGAAGTATAACACATAGGTGAAAGTCAAAGCAGTTCTCATGCAAATATATTCAAATGAAGCACAAAGACGCTCTTCTCGTTAATCAGGATGAGTATCTCCAAACTCCCCTTCTAAGTGTTACTGATACCCTCCATGTATTGGATTGGTAATGGGGTGATACCGAATTTTCTAGAAAGTTGCCTCACAGTGATATAAAAACCTCAGCCTGGGTGTGAAAATGAGGGGTTTATCTAACGGTTCGTGTGCCGCATTCAAGGAACTGGATCAGTAGCCACTGAGTAAGTGAAACGGAAGGACTATAGCCACCAAAAACATATTTATGGACACATATTTCTGTAACAGCTGCTACTGAGAAAACTTGTGTTTGTAAGTGGGTGTAGATACAGTATTAGTTTTCGTCTTTTCCTTTAATTTGTCAAATTTGAAAGCATTTTACTCCTGGAAAGTTTCATTTTCCTGAAGTATTTAAACGCCTCATTGGGAAGAGTCCGGTTCGCATAAATGATGAGGAGAAAGTCCAACCAACCATCGGATGGAGGCGTGGCGGCCCGGATTGGAATATGAGCACCGGGAGGCACCGAGCTGAACAGACTTGTAGTTTGTTTTCTCCACAGAAAGAGCTGGTAACAACAGATACACTTTATCTGATCCTCTGTAGCAAAGAACTTCTGTTACTCGCGATAACTTTTTTTTTATTTTTTTGAAAAAAATAAAGTTGACTTGAAGTGACAGCAGAGGGGTGATCAGAGCGCAGCCAGGATGTCCCAGCAGGCAGTGAACGGGGTGTCGTGTCGGGGGAAGGTGCTGAACGTGGAGAACATGAACCCCAACGTGAAGCGGGTGGAGTACGCGGTCCGGGGGCCCATAGTGCAGCGGGCGGTGCAGATAGAGAAGGAGCTGCGAGAGGTAAACTGAAAACAACAGACATGTTTGGTTTGCTTTACTTTTTGATTGCTTTCATGACTGTCTTTGGCAGGCAATCAAATTTTTGTTAGAAATTCCCTTTACAGTAAAAGGTACTGCAGTGGGGTCTTTAAACTTCCAGCAGACTAAAGAAATGCAGCAATTTGCTTAATGTAAAGCAATCAAAATGTGTGAATGTTTGGATTGATGATGTTAATAGAGGCACAAGTACGGAAGAGGAGTAGGGCCACTGAAAAAATCTAAAAAGTTAACAGATTTTTTAATTTTATTTCAGTATATATTAAAAAAAAAAAATCAGAATTCTGACTTTTTTCTCAAAATTCTGACTTTTTTCTCAGAATTCTGAGTTTAATCTCTTAATTCTAACTTTAATTTCATAATTCTGACTTTAATCCAAGAACTCTGACTTTGATCTCAGAATTCTGACTTACATCTCAGAATTCTGACCTTTTTTCCCCCGCAGAATTCTGACTTTAATCTAAGAATTCTAACTTTTTTCTCAGAATTCTGACTTTAATCTCAGAATTCTGACTTTATCTCAAAATTCTAACTTTTTTCTCAGAATTCTGACTTTAATCTCAGAATTCTGACTTTTTTTCTCAAAATTCTGACTTTAATCTCAGAATTCTCACTTTTTTTCCCCTGAATTCTGACTGAATTCTGACAGCTAACAAACATGTTAGCATCAAGCCGTAGCCATGTATGTTTTAGAGTCTAAACTAGCTCTTTTGTTTTAATCACCTGCTGCTCTTCCATTAATGAAATAGCATCACCGGGGACCAATCGGGCACATAAAAAGTCAGCTAATTCCTTCATTTTCCAATCATGTGTCACTGTTCCTCACAAACAACTCACATCTTTGTCAGTGAAGCTGAGTGCTCCCACATCTCTTCATGGTGCCCATCTACATTAAGGTCCAAAATTCTGAGTTTAAAGCCAGAATTCTGAAATTAAAATCAGAATTCTGAGAAAAAAAAATCTGAATTCTGAGACTAAAGTCAGAACTCTGACTTTTTCCCCACATTAAACTGAAATAATATTTAAAAATCAGTAAATTTAGTTTTATTTTTTCAGTGAACCTAATCCTCTTCCATACTCAAGAGAGCGGGTGTTGTGGAAAAAAAAAGTGGTATTCTGTCCAAACCAGATAATCGCAGTGGTTACATGATAAAGTTGATCAATCAAACAATGTTAACACGAAAAAAGAAAAAAAAAACGTATGCCAAGTAAAAACAAAACAAACAAATATATATAATTATACAGAAAAAGATTATTTTGTTTAGTGTTTTTATCCTAAGAAGTATTAAACAATTAAAAGGAAAAATATGGACTGAATGCTGATGCATTAAAATGGCTTTTTGGTTTTTATTTGTTTCTATTATGCTATATTGTGAGGTATTTGACATATTTTGCTCTCTTTAAGCTTAGAGAGTTTTGTTATATTATTATCTTGCTGAAATGTACTATACAAAATTGGGATCACCTTGTATTGGGATGATTATTTGTAAATAAACTTAGCTTAGCATTCTACCTAAAAAGAAAGAATTGTAATTGTTTCCCCAGTTTATGCATCAAAGTCATATTGTTTTACTAAGAATGAAGAACGAGCCTTCAAGTACAGAATGTTGACTGATGTGGTTGATGATGAGTGTTTTGGATGGATTAATACCTGGAAAAAAACAGGATATTCTGGATTTTGACCTTTTGATCAACGATTGAAGTGAATCAATTGAAATGAGCTAATTAAATCTGTGACAGATTGATTAATGTACCTCCACTTCCAAGCCATGACAGATACTGCTGTTAATGTTAAAGCTTAAGCAAACAGTGGTGATAATGATCATCTTCAGAGCTTTGACTGGTAAAAAAAAAATCTGCATATTTAAATATTCCATCTAATTTTGCTGTTTATATCAGCCATTTTAAAAGTAACTAAAAGCCATAATCTTCTTTCATCCGGTACGATGGCACTATGTGTATTCTGCACTTACATAATTTCCGTTTTTGTGAATAATTATTTATTATTATTTTGTGAATAATAATAGATGATCATTTCTTTACGTGACCATGTAAATTTCCTTCTGGTTCTGGGGTGGAATGACGTCCACTGTAAGTATGGAAGGCAAAAAGTGCTGCAAATCTATTACATAGATTTATCATTATCTTATCATTTTTACTAGTGATAATAGAAATAACATTTTAAAAGAAACTAGATAAATGTATATATAGATGTAAAATGTAGTGTCTACATGATTATCAAATTATAATACATTTTTTTTCAAATGTAAAATTAGATATATTCGTTTTCTGTTCTCAGGATTTTATAGTATTTCAGTTACATACAGAGCTCCATTGAAAAGTAACCATTACAATCACTTGTTATCTGATTGGTTATTTTTAGACCAGTCGTCATTTTCTGCACACTGACTTTGAAAAGCTTGCAGCTAAAAGAAATTCCAAAGCACCCCAAAGCATTCGACATGAAATTATTATTTAACCAACACAATTTGACTCATTTTGTAAAGAAATTAAATATTTTTTACTAATGATATATTTATATACTTGCATATCTTATATGTTATGGTGGATGGAGCAAATAAGGATGAATTAAATGCATAATTTGGATGATTTCCTTTAAAATGTGTTGCCTCTTTCTCTGCAGCGATACAGCAATCAAGTAAACACACTTGAAGGAGAAATTTAAAGTAAAACATGTAAATATAAAAAAACAAATCATAAAATGTACTAAAAGATACAGCGGTTGTTTTATGTGATGCACATGTCCATATTTAGTCTCATTCGGTTTACTGTTGATCTGGTTTAAAAGCGAAAAAACTGTCCTGCTTTATTTAATGCTGGCTTCCTCTGTGATTAGAAACAGGACAGACGGAACAGGTCATCTTTTCACATCCGAGTCTTCTTTGCTCTGCTCTTGTTGCATTCCAACGGTGGCGTTACTGATCTACTGTATTTTTGGAGGGAGGTTAGGCAGGTTAAACGGGATGTTTTTAACAATCTCTTGATCAAAACTCCCTGTCCTCTTCTTGGAAACACGTGATGAGATGTAGTGGACGACCCTGCCTGGCATCGAGTACATTTAGCTCTCCCTTTGTCTCAGATGCCTGCAGGACTCTGAGGACATGTATATTGTGAAGTGTTGTTACATAAGATGAGCATTCTCTGTCCTCCTTTGTGTCTTTGGCCTTACCCACTCAGAGGAGAGAGCCTGATGGGGCCCACTGGGCTCTGGAGGTTCAAAACAAGCAGCTCTGATGAAAGTGCTCTACTTCTTGGCTGTCCACTTGTTTTTCTACGCCTATAATCTGGAAGAATCCCCATCTTCACAGCTGACAAAATAATTATCCTTGAAGGATTGTGGTTTGCGTCAGATATTTAAATTTAAAATCTAAATCTGAGGTTGTGAGGTGTTTTCAGAGGGGTCGCAGGGTTTGAATGGCAGCGCTGGTCGAGTCATCTGCGGGTGTGCTTCCTGTCAGATCTGCTACTGGAACACTTTTAGTTGTGGCTCAGCAGATTTAATGCGTGTGTGCGCATGTGTGCTGTTGATGACCCTTATAAATCCTTACGCAGACATCTGGCTTGACACTTCCTGCTCTGGTGCAAGCTAATTCAGGCTTGGATCTCAGCTTCTGGCAGGTCTGTGCTTCTCTTTGACAATAACTCGGTGACACCAGAGCAGAGACATGAGAAGGAAGGGTAACTTGTCTGACATTGGTAGGCTCTGCAAACGTCTCTGTCTGTTCTGTTCTTTTTTTTATTTAACTGAAAACTGTGATTCCGTTTTCTTAGATATCTTCCCTTAGAGATTGTTTTGTCTTTGTAGAGTCACACAACATATTAGTTATGTTTATTTTCTAGTTTGCACATCTCTTAGTTTTCATACCCCTTACATTGTTATCAACATTGTCTTGTTACGAACACAAAGATGTATTTCTTTTTGTCTTAATCAAAAAATGCAAACTAATACTGCAGCTCTGCTTGGCCACATTTTCAGTAGGGTGAACAGTAATAGAAGCAGCATCAAGCTGCAAGAAAACAGGATGGCATAGTCAAAGTTCAGTGCTAAATCCCATGAAAGATCTGGAGTATGACCTGAATATTGATGCCCAAAGATGCCTTTTATCCCATCTTACTCAGTTTCTGCTCATTTAATTTTTATTTCCTTTTTTAAATTCTGTTTATTTCCAGTCAATACTGGAAGTTTTCCATGTAATTAATTACTTATCTAGAGTAGGGCTGCAACTAATAACTATTTTGCAAATCGATTTATCTGTCAATAATTCTTTTGATTAATCGATTAATAATCGAATAGTTAAAGATTCCCTAAAGAAGACTTTTTATAAAATTAAGCCAGGTGAAACCTTTCCACCTTAATCTGGATAGAGCATATTGATAGACAAACATTTATTTCTATCTTAAATGCAAAATATTTACATATTTTTTTTACAATCTTGGTAAAATTACTGCTCTAAATGTGTCGCTCTGTCAGCTAAAGGCATGTTTAAGAGTCTCTATACTCCAGTTAACGATTAATCGATTACTAACTCAGTTGACGATTATTTCAATAATCGATTAATCGATATTAACCTGATTAATTGTTTAGACCCTAATCTAGAGCCAATATCAATAAGCATGTGTACAAAGAGAGCGACAGAAAGGAATGAATATGGGATTTAATGAGCGTCCAATTAGTGTGGTATAGTCTGTTATAGTCATCAGGAACCTTTGGAGATGATTTCCTGGAGAAGAATTCTTCATAAAACGAGGAATATTTTAGAAAACAGTGGGAAACGTTATCAGAAGACTTTTAAAGATCCTTCCTGCCTAAAGCTATTAATATAAATAACTCGTTAACAAAACCCTATGAGTTATAAATGATAATGAATACTATTATGTGTCTTCTTCAGTCCGCTATCCATTAACCCTATAGAAACATCAGGATGCAATACATATAGCGCCCCCTTGCTTCACAATAAAGAATGGTCACACATTACAGCACACAGCAGGGGCAACGTTTGCTTAGCATTGGCTTTGTGTCAGCATGGCGAACCCTAAATTTGTCAACATGGGTTGTTTTTTTAAGATGTTTATTGGAACAGAAATAGAAAGCAAAAACATATCTTCACCTAAGAGTAGCCAGGCACATTTACCTCAAATCAAACAGCAGACTGGATAAATGCAACCTTCTACTGCAGGAAGGCACTGTTGGGGGGGAAAGCAAAAGGTGTGGTACAGATAAATTATATAGATGCATGTCGGATTTTTCAGATTTTTACTCTGCCAACCTCCAAGAAAGCAAATTAAACACAGTGATGTTTGTAGTTGCATGTTCAAGGGATGCAAATGCGTTTGATTGGAGCTGTAAGAAAAACATTTTTTTTTTTTTATTCTTTGTGGGTTCTGCTCAGTCTGGGCGTGTCGGTCAGGCCTGTGTAATCAGTGCCTTGTGCTGACCGGGCAGGAGAATGCAGAAAATAACTGGCTTGGAGAACAACCCGACTCTTTGTTAGTGGAGATTAAAAAGGGAAACGAGCCGCATCGAGTTATTCAGATCTGATTTAACGCGAAACAAACGAAGCTCTGATAAATTAGACTTGCGTCCATTTAAAAGGAATTCTTTCCATGATGATAGAATCTTCTAAAATCACATGGAACCAGAGCCAAGAACATTAATTTAAAGAAATAAACAGATTGTTTCTGTATTAAAATTTTAATCTTAGTTTACAGATATCTATGATAACAATAATTTTGACCAGAGAAGTTCTAATATTAGCTTCACTTTTTTTGTTTTAATTTTTAAGATAATTAAACAGCTGACTTCCTTTTTAAGATATCTAATTATATCCTTGAAAAGATTTTATGTTAAGATGTTGTCTATTGACTCTAGCTTGGCTGTTAAAGAAAATAAATGACCCATAGCATGCTGTCTCGTTTCTTGTAAATTGTAATATTAACCGGCAGGTTTGATGGTGTGTGAAGAAACACATGCATCTGCTTAGCAAAAAAAAATAAACAAAAAAAACCTTTTTTATTTGTATTACTCTATTTATGCATTTATTCTTCTGTTTGGGATTATTTATGTTTATGTGTGCGAGAAATAGAGAACCTTCTTCAGACGTTATGCATTTATTTTTCTCCTTGAGGCTTTTATTTACAAATATCCATCATCCTCTAATACCTGCAGCTAACTGAGCTGTAAAATTGTTATCATTCTTGAGATTGAAAAATGTCCACACTGTTAAGAAAGACTGGGTCTCATTCCTCACTGTTTTCACTCTGACCTTTTTGGTCTGGTGGCCAATTACAATTACACAAGAATATCTGCTGTCGTTTTGCTTGACGTAATCTGAGAAACAGGAACAGCTGCGGCACGCTGGAAGCAGCAAACACCCCCTGAGTTTGGGTGAGTTCTTTAAGTTCGAAGAGAAGAAGGGGCGCAGATTTTCTGGTGAAGAGAAAAGAACCAAAGTGGGGGAAAAAAAACAAAAAAAAAACGCACATGATTGAAGCCAGTCATGGGATTAGATTAAGCCAGCATGTCTTGATGAACATGCAACCATAAACAGAGAAAAAAAAAAAAAAAAAAACGCACATGATTGAAGCCAGTCATGGGATTAGATTAAGCCAGCATGTCTTGATGAACATGCAACCATAAACAGAGGATGGTTTGTGTCTCTGGAAGCCCCAGAAGTCTTCCAACACGTAACAAACCAGACTCCCTGCTAGGCCCCTTGTAAGGCGGGGGAGGGGCGGTTCGATTTCACCCTTCCTGGCCTTTCTTTGATTTACAGTTTCTTGCAAAAGTATCAAGAACTCCTAAGCAGAAAGAATTGCATGTTTGAGCGGTAGAGGTGGAAAACCGTACATTTAAAATAAAATCTGAAAAGTGTGGTGTGCTTTTCTATTAAGTGTTTTTCAATCAATACCTTAAAGAGCCACAAAAGGTTAAATTACAGACTTAAAAGTTTTTGGCTATTCTCTACAAGTTCTGCTCAGCTAGATAAAAAAAAAAAAAATAAAGATTCTTTGCATAGTGCTTCAAGTTTAGTTAGTTTGGCTTGGGGAGAGTATATGAACACCCATTTAAAAGCTTGCCATAAATTACTAGTTAGATTAAGAGCTGGACTTTGACTGGGTTTGGGTTGGTGTTTTTTACATGACTAAACTTTAAACTAAGTCATTCAGTTTCTATCAGAAATATTCTAGAAATAGCTTCCCAGCCGCTGCTGCAGAAAGCAGCTCCACAGCATGATGCTGCCATGTTTCACCTTTGAATTGTTGCCAAACTTTTCTTGAAACATATTCGTTCCTGACTTTGTTTTCTTTTGTTGCAGGGAGTGAAGAAACCCTTCACAGAAGTCATCAAGGCTAACATAGGCGATGCCCACGCTATGGGTCAGAGACCAATCACATTTTTCAGACAGGTTAGACCCCTCCATTGGCTGGATTCCTCCCCCTGATAGTTTGCATCGTCACTGATCACACTGAGCACTGACTGACTTTGGTGCAAAACATATGTTGCAAGGCCTTTAACAGATTGACCTTTGCTCCTCTGCCTCTCAGGTGTTGGCTCTATGTTCTTATCCAGACCTTTTGGAAGATAACAAGTTTCCAGAGGATGCCAAGAAGAGAGCTCGGCGTATCCTCGATGCCTGCGGGGGTCACAGTATAGGTTAGACGATTACCATCACCCTCACCCTTTTACTCCATCTGATCTATCATATCTTCTACCTTCCTAATCAGTGTGCTGTTTGCAATCTACTGCATGTTAAATAGTTACAGATTATCCTTGCTGTGCATTGAAAAATCACACCTCTGTCCTGCAGGGGCCTACAGTGCCAGCCAGGGAATCGAATGCATCCGCCAAGATGTGGCACGTTACATCGAAAGGAGAGACGGCGGCATCCCCTCCAACCCTGACAACATCTACCTCTCCACTGGGGCCAGTGATGCTATTGTGGTATCTATCACACCTTTATTACCTCCTCCTTCACAAGCTGGGGACATGCAGCAGAAATGACTTCTTAAAAGGACTGTATTCCTGAAAATCCCTTTCAAAGAGCTGTAACCCTAACCTGTATTGATCTTCTGTTAATGATGTACTTACTAAGCTGTACTTTGCACAGGTCTAACTTCATTTCCACCCACAGACCTTTGCCACTCTCACTTTTATGTAACCATTTCACAGCTGGCATTAAGAGAGAGTCTTATGTAGAGATACAGCAGGTGTGCGTGCAGGAGTAAACGGTTGCATATCTGGCACAAAGCGAACAAACATGTCAGATTTTAAATAGTCTGAAATAACTGCATATCACATTTCCCTGATACTTTAATTTAGGTCAAATCTATGCTAAATGACCCAGAATTAAGGGAAATCTTGTGACAGCATATAATTACCACTGGGGATCTGAACTGATTCCTTCATAAATGAGTCATTTACACTACTTGAATATAAATGGAAAACGATTCTCCATATTTCAGACCATTCTTAAGCTGCTTGTGTGCGGCGAGGGTCGAGACCGCACAGGGGTGATGATCTCAATCCCCCAGTACCCGCTTTACTCGGCCGCTCTGGCAGACCTGGGCGCCGTGCAGATAAGCTACTACCTGGATGAGGACAGCTGCTGGAGTCTGAATGTGACAGAGCTTAGACGAGCCCTAAACGAAGCCAAGCAGCACTGCAAGCCTCGTGTGCTGTGCATCATCAATCCAGGGAACCCCACAGGTAGGCCTTATGCATCACCCCTCACCTTTCCTGGCAAACCCGGTGAGGAGGTGTTAAAAATACCACTTAAATGGGTTAATCTTTTTATTGCCATTGAATATTTCACTCAACATTTTAGGAAAACTATGGAATAGGCTGCAGAGATGACAGCTTCAGAAAACAATGTGGAGAAATTGTGCAAAGTGAAATGGTCAAAGATCTTTCCATATTCTGTCCAACCTTATCAAATGTCACAAGAGCAATATTAAGGCTGTGCTGTGCAAAGCACTGGTAGCAGGGGGAGCTGTTATCTGTTGCATCAGTAATTTAATTAAAAACAAAAAAGATCCTAATAAAAACAGTTATTCACCTTCTTTCTCCAATGATTTTTTTTTCCTCTGATAGGTCAAGTCCAGAGCAGGCAATGTATTGAGGATGTGATCCGATTTGCTAAAGAGGAGCACCTCTTCCTCATGGCTGATGAGGTAAATAAGTTTTCTTTTATCTTCAGCAACATAAACAATCTCAGATGTCAGGTTAGAAATAAAAGATTACAGAAACTTATTTCTTTGTTTAGGACCCACCCATGCATGCATGCATGAAGCAACATAACAAAACACAAGCATCCCCCGCTAATGATTTGTTTCCATTTCCTGTGTAACCAGTTTGTTCTGAAGCTGTTTTCTTGTTGCAGGTCTACCAGGATAATGTGTACGCTGAAGGCTGCAAGTTTCACTCCTTTAAGAAGGTGCTCTTTGAAATGGGACCAGAGTTTTCCAGCACTGTGGAGATGGCCTCCTTCCACTCCACCTCTAAGTGCTACATGGGAGAGTAAGCAGCTAATTTATTAGTAACTTTAAATGAAGGATGGGGAACTGTGTGAGTGGCCCACCCTCTGCTGTTTAAGTATTCCTCTCAAGGTGGCGGTGATGTGGCGAGCTTTGGAGGATCTCTGTGTATCGTATTCAGCACAGTTATCCCTGTTTGTCTTCTCTCTATTTGCTCTCCTGAGGTGTGGATTCCGTGGAGGCTACATGGAGGTGATCAACATGGACCCGGAGGTGAAGGCCCAGCTCACCAAGCTGGTGTCGGTGCGTCTGTGCCCCCCCGTCCCAGGACAGGCTCTCCTGGACCTGGTGGTGAACCCCCCACAGCCTGATGAGCCATCATACGCTTCATTCATGAAGGTGAGAAACAAACACTCCTAATCACAAAGTGCACACCCGGATGCAGCCCTGAGCGCTTCCGCAAACGTATTACACTTACACAAACACACACAACGGCCAACTCATGTAATCTGTACAAACAAAGCAGCCATTGAGTTTGCTGAAGTCCTTACAAGGCGGTAATTGGCTTCTTACAGAAAACTTCAAGCAGTGCTCTGAGCTTTGCAAACTGGATTATATACAGTGGATTATATAATGCATGGTGTTGTAATGTTAGCCTGTTTCTGTCCAACTCACAGTGCTGTGAGAGGATCGCATTCATTAGACGGTCATTACCAAGTTCACTGGTAACATGACTCTCACGCTGCAGGGATTTTATTCCAGCATTAAAAAAAAGCTGCAAATGTTTGCACTTTTTTGAAATTGTATTAGGAGACATATGTTTCGGCTTTCTCTCCCTGCATTCAATGCATTCATAATATTCTACTGTAGCTTAAAATGCAGCAAAAAAGACAGAATATGAAACCCTGGTTGGATCACCACAGGTTGCTAAACTTTGCACCTTCTAATGGCTACCTGAGACAGTAGCAGCATATTCGCCGAAGATACAATAGTTAAAGTTAAACCAAGTGCAGTTTTTATGCTGAGAAAGCTGTGAGAGGTAAGCACGGAGTGTCTGCCTTACCCTCTGTTAAGCAGTGGATTTGAGAAATGTTTAACGGTGAGGATCATTAACTTAGAGTCTGGTTGCTCCATAGCTGCATCATATACTGTAGGTCAGGGGTCTGAAACCTTATATAACCCTATATTCAGTCCAGCTAATAAAACTCTTTAAGAGCCACAAACTTTTTTTCCTTTTAAAGATAACATATTTAATTAACATCTACCAAAGATTTGTCCTTTTTTAAAATAACTAAGTAGTTTCAAAATGTTGGTTTTAAAATGAATTAAAAAATTATAAAGAGAATACATTTTTAATGGGCTGCTGAAATGTTAAAAATTCTGTATGTGTATAAAGGATAAAAAAAAAAAAGTATATTTAGTTTATTTTGGACATTTAACACAATTAGTAAATGGAGAAAATACTAACTAGCACATTAAACAGCATTTGTTAGTATATCTATAGATTTGCTGGCTCTTCATTTTTAGCCAACATGATGAAGAGCCATTGTCAAAATATCTAAAGAGCAAAAGGTTGTAGACCCCCTTATATTGGTCGTCCAGGACCATTCAGTCCTTTATTTTCTCAGAATTCTCACTGAATTCTCACAATAAAAAAAAGTCCGAATTTTGAGATTAAAGTCAGAATTCAGAGAAAAAAAGTCAGAATTCTGAGATTAAAGTCAGAAATCTGACAAAAAAGTCAGAATTCTGAGAAGAAAAAAAAATCAGAATTCTGACTTTTTTTCCCCCCATACTAAACTGAAATAAAATTTAAAAATCAGTTCAAAATTTTTTTTTTTCTTCTGCAGTGGCTCTAATCCTCTTCCATATCATTACGACCATCTTATGTGTAGAATTTAAAAATGATAAACAGATATTTAAGTTGAGGCTGAAGGATTTTCCTGGATATGATCCAACAGAAGTGGGGGAAAAGATGAACCTTGTAAATAAACTTATCTCTGGTTTATAAAAAAACAGAGGCCCAGTCATGTTATCTGTTCCTGCAGAAGAGATTAAAGTAGCTCAAACTGTTGCATTTTAGTTACACATTCAGCTAATCTTGTGCAGTGCTTCCATCTTTATAAAAATAATCCCTCTACTTCATCTGGTAAATGAAGGATCTGAACAGGTAATTTGAAGTGTTGGTCTAAAATGAATAAAAAAAAAGTATTTCTCTGACAAGTGATTGAAAGATTAACTGGAAACCAGACTGAAGTAAGTTCAGGCTTTGCTCTTTTATAAAGTTTAATCCTATAAGAAATCTGTGCAACATTCAGAGCAAAAAAATTTAGTTTATTTTAGTCCTCAAAAATACAAATTTCCAGCTTCTTTTGAATGCATCTGCTTCCACACCTCAATGAAAACGGCCGAATTACCTCCTCAAAAATGTCAAGTCCTCCAGAGTCCTACTACAGACCTGATTATTAGACCCAGGTTGATGGGGCAGGACACCAGACCTGAAGAACAGGAAGTGAAATACCCCGCTTTACAGGATCTCTAGCTGTAACTTAAATGCCAGAAGATGATTTCAGTTTTAACTCTCCCCATTTGCATCCCTCCCAGGAACGGAGTGCTGTTCTGGCTGCTCTGGCAGAGAAGGCCAGGCTGACAGAGGAGATCTTTAACACAGTACCTGGGATCAAATGTAACCCGGTCCAGGGCGCCATGTACACCTTCCCCCGCATCACTCTACCACAGAAAGCCATCGACAAGGCCAAGGTCTGCTCTCACCCCCCCTGACTGGTTGTTTTATTTAAACACAGACATGAGCAGTCATGTGTGTTCACCTGCAGGCTGAAGGAGTCGTTCCAGACATGTTCTACTGCATGAAGCTGCTGGAGGAGGAAGGGATCTGCTTGGTACCAGGAAGTGGCTTCGGTCAGAGAGATGGAACCTTCCACTTCAGGTTAGCCTCAATGATCAACATCTTAGTTTTTATAAATTTTTAGAACATGGTTTAATGACTCCTTTTCCTCCTATCAGGATGACCATCTTACCTCCTACTGAGAAGCTGAAGGTGGTGCTGCAGAAGATCCGTGACTTCCACTTGAGGTTCACAAGCGAGTTCTCCTAACCGTCCTCCACCTTCTCAGCCTCTGTTCATGAACCAATGTCTCCAGTGCCAGTATCTCCAGTGCCTTTGTGCAAACAAGGAAGCAGCTCTGCAGGAACCAGTTAGAACCCCCAGAGCTCCCAGGCTACCTTTTTAAAAATGGACATGTATGAACTGCAAATGAAGACGTTTTACACATCACTACATGAAGCACTTTGATCTCTGAGCCTTACAGTTACAGAAGAATCATCTCTTGTGGTACATAGTTTGATGCCGAATGATTTTTGTCTTAATTTAACCTCATTAATTGTGTTATCCTTTTATGAAGCTCCATGCTGAGGTACTTCAGTGTTTAGTTCCAGGATGTAGCCATTTAAAAAACGATTTTATGAATGTGGTCGTTTCCTGAACTGTATGCATTTCCATTCTCTTCATTTAAAATTTCTACAAAAAAACTTGACCCTCCAGCTCGACTCATTTTTGATTCATTTTGACAAGGAGTCTGGGTGTTGGTGCCGACAGCCACCATCATTTTCAGCTTTATTTAAAAACCGTCAGTGCTTACATGCTTTCAGAAACAGGAGCTGAATCTCTTGGAATGAACAGAAACTAAAAAGGATGATTGAAAAGTGTCAAAGAAAGTCAGTAACACCATTTAGAAATGGATGTGTTCCCTTTGGCCTCCACCAGAGCACCGATTAGAGTTCTTAGCTCCTCACAGAGAGAAAGTCTCAGAGTTCGTCTCTCCTCTGGAGCTTGGTGGCGTGCTCCTCCACAAACTTACTCAGCCCTTCTACTGTTCTGTCTCCACCTTGGAATTTAACTGGGCTCTGCTTGCTGTTACTGGGAGCAAAGTATATGGTGGGGAAGCCTTCCACTTTGTAGCTGTCGTGTGGCACATCGTTGGCCGTGGCGTCCATCTTGGCGATCACCAAGTTCTTCTCAGATTTGTACTTTTTGCCAAGTGCCAAGTAGTCAGGCTCCAGCTTCTTACAGTGGCCGCACCAAGGAGCGTAAAACTCGATCAGGACATCCTTTTGTGTATCCATGACGATTTCATCAAACGTCTTCCCCACCACAACCTTTACTGGTCCCTTGTTGTTCTTTGGCACTGGTTGGGACTTGATGATGGGTTGGAGCTTTCCTGTTGACAAAAGGAAAGATCTAAATTAATTCTTAAATTGCAAATAGAAAAAAAAAAAAAACCAAGGCTGGTTTCATATGAAACCTTTCAAAGTAGGATTTTACCATGAAACAAAGACCCACCTTTCTTAAAAGCAACCACAAATTCTCTCAGCACCTCTGAGTCAAACTCCTCCGGCTCCATGGCGAACTTCTTTCCTCCGTCTGCCAAAATCCCAACGTTCACCTCTTCTCCGCTGTCGCCTAAACCCAGGCTCTTCAGTTCGTCGGCGTAATCCTCCTCGTCGGCGATGGCGAACGTGTACTCTGGGAAATCTTTCGCAACATCCAGCACCTTGGACCTCCAGAACTGGGTGGCTGAAAGCGAAACAGAAGATGAAAGGTTCGTCTGTGCAGAGGCGACTCTTTACAGGTGGTGTGCAGCTGTCTGTCAACGACAACCTTTCTGATCTGCACTGAGATTAAACTCAAAACCACAGAAAGGTGATGACTCAGAAAGCAAACAAAATGAACAAATAAGAATCAAATATGAAGAACACCAGCATGAATCGACATGAAATCACTCATTCTAAGTGTGGTTGCATTTGCATTCAGCCCCCTCTACTCCGTTACACCCCCAAATAAATTTTGCTGAAGGCAATTAGCTTTTAAAAGTACATCCTAAAAAAATGACAGGTATGAATTTTTGCAATGACACACAAAAAAATATATATACATGTGTAGAGAGAAACTAAAACGCCATTAAAGAAGTCGGTGGCTGGATCATGCAGTGAGGACTTTCCTTCAGCACCAACTCGGAAGCAGGCTGGTCGATTAAAAAGATATTTGAGCAAAATACAAAGCACCGCTGAGCACCTTTAGTATAAATCACCAGCATATTTTAAGCTTCTATCATTTTTTTCTTATCTCACCTATCCTGTAGTCAAAGCTGAAGTCGACTCCATAATAGACGACCACCAGGGGGCGCTTTGTGAAGCGCTTGGCATCGTTGCTGGGTTTCCTGTGTCCCACCAAGGGAATGGAATGTTTCCTAAAGAACTCCTGGACTTCAGACACCGTTGTAGACTCCTGCACAACACAGACAGAGTTTAGTCTTTCTTCCTTTTTTATTCTACAATCTGCTGCTCAATGAAGCATAGCCAATGCTTGCATCTTAGTGCCAGCAAGCTCAACAGAAATTGCTCATATTCTAATGAGTTTCACAGCTAGTTTCATTTTCAGGATTTCCACTGAGATGAAATGGAAAAAGTAGGTAGGAAAAAAAAAAAAAAAGCTTGAAATAGAAGACGGCACCTTGACTGAAAGTTTGTTAGAAGCCGGCTCATACTTTGAGTGGAACTTCTCAGGCTGAATAATGACAACTTGACCAGGAGACGCTTTCAGCAGTTTGGCCACTTCAGAGCTGAAGGAGTGACGGAAGGTGAAGTCTTCCCTCAGAGCGTTACCTGCCAGACAGAAAACGGACGTAAAAATAACACCAAAGATCTTTATAATTCTGCAACGACAGGCTATGAAATATGCATTGAGTTTAAAGCCTGTAACAAATACTTACAAGCTTCGATGTAGATCTCATAGGCGGCATCCTGTTCGCTGGAGAATATTCCAACTATAACTGCATCATCTCCATCTTTGATCAGCTCTTGAACCTGCTTTGCTGCCTGCACCTGCTTAGAGGGGGGTCCCGCCTGCTCACTCATGAAGTCGACGATCCCTAGGGGTTAAGTAAAAGATCAGCTTGTTGCAAGTTAAACAGAAATCTAAACTTCTCCCTTTAATGTCAGTCAAATGTGAACTGTCAGAGCTGCGCCTACCGTAATTCTCCCTGGGTCCGTTGTATTCGAACGCTTTGCCTTTCCTGAAGATCTTCAGCGTGGGGTAACCAGTGACCCCAAAACGTGAGGCGAGCTCCGTCGCCACCGTGGCATCAACCTTAGCCAGAGGAATAGGAGGGGAGCGCTGACTCAGCTCTTTGGCAGCCTTCTCATACTCCGGAGCCAGACGCTTACAGTGTCCGCACCTGAAGAAGGCAAATTGTTTATTTTAATCTCCAACTGGACCTGGACAGGAAAGGAAAAAGTGTCATTGTAATCTGCTGAGGGAACAACTCACCATGGAGCATAGAACTCCACCAGGATGATGTCTGCATCGTTCACCGTCTCATCAAAGTTGTCCTTCGTCAGCACCAGGGTGGCTTCAGGAGGCGGCTTCCAGCCTGGCTGAGACACCTCCAGCACCCGCGCTACAATGGCTGCAAGACGCGTTCGACGCATGAGAGCATTTTACTCGCATTCAGGTAGAAAATGTACAGAGAGCCTCTACTGGATTCCCACCCTTTTCGGTTCTCTCTCCATCGTAGTCCACAGGCTCTCCATTTTTCAGAATTTTAATGGTGGGATATCCCGACACGTCAAACCGGCTCGCCACGTCATTGGCTTGTGTGGCGTCCACTTTGGCCACAGGGATGGGAGGGTCATTCTCCTTCAGAGTCTGAGCGATTTTCTCATACTCTGGGGCAAACTGCTTGCAGTGGCCACACCTGACAACAGATCATAGACGTATGATTACAGTTTGACCTGTGAAGTGTTCCTTAAAGCTTTTCACATCTTTAACAATACAACCACAAACCTCAGTGGTTTTTAATCATCACTAATACATGGTCTTTAAATTGATAAACCTGAAGTATAATTATGAGATGGATGGAAAATGATTTTCCAGTAAAAATCTGATAGTTGTTTAACCGATTTTTATTTATTCCTCTTTAGTTTGGAAACCTTAAATCAACTTTCCTTTAGAAGTCCCCTAATTTGTACATAATGCAGATCAAGGAAGAAAACATTTGGGTCAGAAAGAAAGTTAGGACTTTTGGAGATAAAAAGGAGAAAACCAAAACACGATCCCAACAATGAAGCATAGTGGTGGCAGTATTATGCATTGTTGACCTTTTCTCAACACAAAGAGAATTGCTGACCAGAGTTAAGGGCTGGCTATACTCCCCGCAGCAGTGTGTCGCAGTGAGTTTGTCGCAGATATCATTCCCAAAATTGAAGCATGGTCTGCGCTATGTTATTCCACCCACACAAAAGAGGGACAATCACGAACTAGCTGTGGGTCTAGATTAGAGACTGACACGGGAGTGTATTTTCACTCCTGTCCCGTCCCACTCCCACAGAAAAAAATGGTGTCCCGTCCCGATCCCGGGCCAGAGTAGAAATCTAAATCCTGTCCCATCCCACTCCTGGTGAAATTACTCCCACTCCCATCCCGCTCCCATTCAGAATGACTCCCGCTCCTGCACAACTCCCATTCTTGTTGTTTTTGAGCGCGGGTGAAAAACTCAGAGCGGAAGTTACTATTGGTTTGCTCCTCCCGCTCCCGTCTGCTCCCGTTAATGTTTAATCCTGTACCGTCCCAATCCCGTGATCGTTACTAATACTGACTCCCATCCCACGGGAATCCCGTGACCCGTGGGATTCCCGAAAAAATGTCAGTCTCTAGTCTAGATACGGTTGAGGTGGTGAGGAAGTGGGGCAAGTTTGTGCCGGAGGGCGAAAAAGAGCTGGGATCCAGGTGGAAAAAGGGTCTCCTTGCTCATCTAGCTGGTCCAAATTCACTAGTCACTTTCTGCAATGGCTGTCGTACAAACAAGACAAGCCAGTAAGGTACCAAACAGGAAATACACATGAGTAGAGCGGATGTAGATTTGACCAATCAGAGGCTTCTTGTCTGCGGTCACCTACAATTTGGGAGAGGTGCAGCAGATTGTCTGCGGCAGGGGCGGAGGCTAATTTGCATTCACTGGGACACACGCAGACAACCTGGTTTCTGAGTATAAACCAGCCTTTACTGTGAAAATAGAGTAATCTAAAAANCAGCCTTTACTGTGAAAATAGAGTAATCTAAAAAAAAAAAGAAGAGTGGTTCTGAAAGGAGGCTTTTAAGTGCATGCAAAAAATTGTAAGATTTTAGTTCATTCAAGAGTTGGCATGAGATAGTTTAGATCGAATCACATGCATGTGTTAGAATGGCCTAGTCAAAGTCCAGACTGAAATATGCACCAACAATTAAAAACTGATGTTAATCAAGACGTGACCAAAACTAGAATTTACCCATAAGACACTTAGAAAGAATAAAGCTAGCCATATTCTTCACATCATGTTTGTAATAATCCACAAGTCTTTGTTCCTGCAAGTTTGAGTGCAAATGGTAAATGGTGGACCTGTCCGGGAAACACACAGCCGGACAGACGAGCACCAAGCCAACTCCCATGCCAGAGGATGAAGGGAGCACATCCAGCCACTCATAATCAGAGAAACAGGACTACACTGGAAAAACAAACCGACCTCCAACATCTATTTCCAGGGACTTTAAAAAAAAACAGACCTACCAGGGAGCATAAAACTCAACCAGAACCGTGTCCTTCCCCTCTATGAAGGTGTCGAAGTTGCTGTTGGTCAGAACCAGGACTCCATTCTCTTCTTTCACCTCCGTGTCATCTTCCTCCTCCTCATCATCACTGACGTCATCAGCTGCCTCTCCTTGGTTTTCTGTGGCATCTTAACAATCACAGGACAGAAAGGTGCAAAATATTTAGCTCACAATAAGCACAATTAACTAATAAAAATTTAATATATTTTAAATAATGCTGTATAAAAAAATACCTAATGAATGTGAGCATTTTAACTATATCCACCATGTAAAATTAGATTTAATAGAAGTGTTGGTGCAGCTCTGTTGGCATGCTAACTACTAGGCTAATTATGTTCAGCTGCTTAGCTAGCTCGGCTATAGAATCACAATAAGTTTTTAGGGAAACGCATTAGCTGCTTAAATTATATGGCTATTTATTAAACAACAACAGGCGAGACTCACCATCTTCACACCTGCAGACAGACGCAAAGTGTGCAACGCCGAGCAGCACAATTAGCAGCAGAGCGAGCTTCCTCATTGTCCCAGCCGTTAACCCGGGGAGCTTTAATCAACTCAGCTTATAAAGCTGATGAATGTCATCAAAAAACGATGCGCCCTTCACACAGACCCGCTATCCGGATCAATACTGATGATATGATGCCCTCAAAAACCTTCGCTTTGTGCTTTCATGCAAACTCTGACTTCTCAAAACACCAGCGCCGCCTCCTCCGGCTGCAACTTGTCTGACTTGCCGCGCTCTGATTGGCTCTGGCCGCCTGCCGTCAGCCAATCACAGGTCGCCACTCAATTTTTTAGTGGGGAACGTTGAGGGTTGCTATTGGATACTAGTGTTGATCTTTTTCTTCATCCTGAGTTGTAGACAACTGGGCAGAAGATTCAAACTACTTCTTATGTTTTATATCTAAGAAGCCAAACTGTCAATAGCTTCTGATTCCCAGACCTAGTGCCTGACTGTGCCCCCCTATATTTAACAAATCTGAGAATTATTGAAAAATAACCCATTGATAAAGCAAGAGGGACATCAGAAACCCTTGGCAAAAAGTAGTATACTTGAAGTAAATTCTATTAAGAATACTTAAGTATGAGTTTAGAATGTATACCAAACAATTTACTTTTAGTGTACTTATAGTATTACTAAAGTAATACTTCTTTGGATTAAACTGGAACATTATTAAGTTTACTAAAGTATACTTAAAGTAAACCATAAAGTAAACAATAGTATAGTCCATAGTACACTATCATACTATTGTTAAGTATATGAAATATAGTTTAGAATAAGTAAACTCTAAGTGCACTGATTGATTTTAACTATGAAATTAGTGCACTTTTAGTATACTTGAATAAACTACTTTTTGCTAAGGGAAGAGTCTATTTATTTATGCATCCTTAATCAATAATCTAATGTAGCTGATTTTGAGCTCACATAGCATTTGTAAAACACTCTAAGTATAAATATGAATTGAAAAACAGTCCGAACATCTAGAGAGCATCAATAATGTGAAAGTCCACCCATGAAACAAAGATAAATCAAGGTTACTATATAACAAAGATACTTTTTTAAATGCAAATTATGTTGAAAAAATTACTCAAAACAGAGACAGCTTTCTATCCTTCATAACTGATAATGCATTCATAATGCATGTTAATTTTTTTTTTTTTTTTCCGGCTTTCCTATTGTGCTTTTATTATTTACATTTTTTTTTTGGTGGTCTTATTTATGTTTCTTTTGTGTGCGGTCAGAGTGTGTCCTTTATGCCGGTGCAGGTTGGACTTAATGTGATGATGCATAATGCTTTATTAAATAAAACAATCATAATCCATGATAGCTGTGCTGTTTTTTTCAGAGATTTTTTTTATTTTACTTTTTACCCATTGTTCCCTTTAATATTTAATGTTATTAAGTATGCTTGTTTGCTTTGCCACTGGCACCTATTTCCCCATCCTGTTCTATTTTGTTCCATTCTATTCTATTCTATTCTATTCTTGAGCTATAGATAGTTTTTCATGTTTAAACCCCTAACTCTAATTTATTTATTGTTATTGCGAGTGATACAACACAGATGGGTGCATAATTGGGGTGAAAGGAAACTGATGCATAGATCTGAATTAATTCACAAAAAGCTAAAAATAATGTAAAGGGGTATTTACTTATTCCATCTAAATCAATATTTTGTGAAACTACATTTCACAACAGACACAGCTGCAGATCTTTAATATCTAAAGCAGCTTTTACCATCTGGAGTACAAAATCTGTTAAATGGTGAGATTAGCTTTAATTTACAGTACAGTCAATGAGGTAAATACAAAGTCATGTTACATTGTTTTTGTTACATAACTATGCATGATTTTTGTACGGATGTAATCTTTTGATATGTGGTGGTCATGCTTCACCTGATAGGTTTGTTAGTTTGACACCAGAAAGTTGCTTTAACCTTTCAGACTGGTCACTGTGATCCTGTTTGCACTGTTTTCTCTGGGTAAGCCTCCCTGTATGTTCAGAGTGCACAGACACAATTCCAGTCTCTAGTATTTCTATTAGCCATCAACAAATAGCAGATGATCCTGTATTAGAGAGGGGATGTAGTGGAGAATGAGCTAAAGTACTTAAAACACAAATAACAGCATTCGGGGTTGTTTTGCACCTATGCTGCATTTGCGTTTGACCATAGCAAAACATACCTGCACAGTGGTCAGACATAAACATGAAACAAAGCTTGGTGTAGATTTGTACTATGTGAACTAAACTGAAAGAAAAAAGAGCTTCAGGACATAATAGAAATACAAATGATTGTTAAAACAAATCAATAGTTTCAGTTTTCCACCTGATCACCCATGAAGCTGCTCTAATAGCACACCTTCTGTCAGGTGTTTTATTGTGCTTGTCTACTTCATTTATAAAATGGAAAGATAAAATGGATCAGACTTTGAACCAGAGCAAAGCTGTGTTTAAACAAGACAGTGCCCTGTATGCAAACTTAAAATGAAATGATAAACTTTTTCCTTTATATCCCCAAAAATCTGACTTTATAATCCAGCTTTTGTCTTAGAGCTGAATGAAAATAAACAAATACATAAAATAAAAATATTTGAAGGATGCATGTGGAGTGATAATTTCCCAATATTAAATAAATCAAGTGCGACTTTAATTAATGTAATTAACGAGGGCTTCAACAAGCTAATAAATGTGTGAAATCGTGGAGAAACAGCGCCCTCTGCGGGAATACTAGAGATAAAGCATGATGACGTTCCCGTTCATTCCGATTTTATTTACCGTACTATGGATCATCGTTATGATCTCTTTATGTTTATAGCCAATTTCTTTACATTACAAGTGGGATACTAATTTTCCTGTTTAAATGTCTAAAATAACATTTTATAGGTAATGTGTAACTGTTCAGCTTCCTTCAGTATGCAGGAGATGATCTTCTAATGATTTATTTAACATATAATTTTTTTCAAAAGGGTTCTTTGAGATTCATTAAATGTTCCTGCCAAGGACTGAGGCGTGAATTATTAGCAGAAAATAGATGCTTCTAAAAGTGTTATCAAAAGTCAGCAATAATAGCCTATATTAATTCAAAGCAAGTTTGAAGCTGCTTTGGATGTTATCATCCAAATAAATGGTCATTATTAGTAGTTCCCCCCACAGAGTTAATTAATCTACGTATGTGTAATCTGAAAATAATTTCAGTAGTTCTTAATGTACTGCAAAAATAAACAAAAAAAAAAAAATGATCAGCATGTCGCTCATATTTTACAAACCAAAATAAAAAGAAATATATCATGTCAACTGAGTTGTAGAATCCTCTTCCTATAAATGTTTAATTATCTGTGAAATCATGCTGATCATTCTTTAATAAGATCCTCGTCACAAGGACACATATATATATATATATATACATATATATATACATATATATAT